AGTGCTGGGATTACATGCCTGAGCCACCACATCCAGCTTGTTACCATATACTTTTATAGTACAGTACTTCACGTTGATTAAAGGACTCTCATACTAACTGTGTCGTTTAACATACACAGCAGCCAAGCAAACGAGACAGGACAAACAGGAGGGTCCCGTTTCCAAGGCTGAGTGCAGTAATGGAAAAAATAAGAGTTTTTATGAATAAGACAATCTGAGTTCAAATCCCAGGCATCTTCAACTTTTCAGAGCCTCAGTTCCATCCTAAGTAAAGTGTAGACAGTGCGTACACATAGTCTTTTAGAATGAGTCAAGGATCAAGTACTGCATGTATACAGTACTCAATGTTTCCTTCCATCATTCCACAGGAGGAAGGGCTACAAGTTCACACACCTACTCTGACTTTAAAGCTCCAAGTAGATTATCTTTCAACTACCATGCTCAACCTCTCCATCCGTGCTCAGATTCAAGAATGTAACTCGGCATCTCTTTAAAAGGTATTTAAAAGATTAGTCACTGAGATACTCTACTAAGTCTTTTGTTCAGGTAGATTTGTGAAATGTCACTCTCTTGAAATCTCACAAAGTGTGTATGTGTGTATATATGTATGATACTGAAGGTTCTGAGAAGTCATGCAATAAAGAAATCTATTTGCATTCATTCTGACTAGCATTTCCCAAAAGTGCATTTAATGGAATCCTTTATTACATAACTACCATAAACATCCACATAGACCTAACTTTCTTTTAAACATACTTTTAGGAACAATGGTTTTGATAAATGCATGTCTAACAAATCATAATAATAGATTAGATTATAATAGATTAACAATATTAATAACTAACAATAGATAGTATTATAGGACAGGGCACAAGAAATTATCCTTTAAATGAGATCCCTGAATCATTCTTTTGCAGCCTGCATTGAATTTGCACATTGCCTAGCGTCAAACTCAGAAAAATTTATTCAGGCAACTAAGACATTTTTATTTTCGGATTTCAGAATAAGTCTGCCACAGACAGAAAGATTCCAAGAAGTGGCTCATAATGTCATCTAGCAGAAGATACACTTGGGGGAAAAGGTGGGGGAGGGGTATTATGTTTTGATGCAAAATTGATTTTGTATGAGGTTTCTTATTCCCTAAATCTACCTTCAGATAATGGTAGTATCTAATGATCGAATGCCACATCACTACCTCTCCTGTTCTTATCTTTGGTCTCCTGAAGACAGTAGAAAGCAAGAGAGAGTCAGAATGGAACGAGTGAGCTGTTAACTATAAATAACAAAAATGAGGACTCCTTTTTTCTCTGAAAACCAAGAAAGCAGTTACTCTGTCACAATCCAAAAAAAGGAAATTAATCAATCATCAGTATTTGTCCTGAAATTTTCCGCAAAGGTCTCTGGTGTGATTATAAAACGTGGGGAAGGTCAGGCGCCGTGGCTCCCGCCTGTAATCCCAGCACGCTTGGGAGGCCGATGAGGCCGGATCACCTGAAGTCAGACCAGCCTGGCCAACATAGCAAAACTGTGTCTCTACTAAAAATACAAAAATTAGCCGGGCGTAGTGGCGCCCATCTGTAATCTCAGCTACTCAGAAGGCTGAGGCACCAGAATCGCTTGAGGCAGGAGGCACAGGTGCAACACTGTACTCTGAACCCGGGAGGCAGAGGTGCACCATTGTACTCCAGCCTGGGAGACAGAACAAGACTCTGTCTCAAACAAAACAAAACAAAAAACAAAACAAAATGTGGGGAAGAGGCCGGGTGCCATGGTTCATGCCTGTAATCCCAGCACTTTGGGAGGCTCAGGTGGGTGGATCACTTGAGGTCAGGAGTTCGAGACCAGCCTGGTGAAACCATCTTTCTACTAAAAATACAAAAATTAGCTGGATGTGGTGGCACATGTCTGTAATCCCAGCTACTGGAGAGGCTGGGACAGAAGAATCGCTTGAAGCTGGGAGGCAGAGGTTGCAGGGAGCTGAGCTCATGCCACTGCACTCCAGTCTGGGTGACAGAGCGAGACTCCGCCTCAAAACAAAAATGAAAACCGTGGAGAAAATGCTAAACTCGATTTCTTCTGAACCTATGCTAAGATGTCAAGGTACTGTGATTCTTCTAAAAGAATTTTAAGTGGTTGTTATGTTTGGTGTCCTAAAAGCATACATGGATTTTATATTATAACCTACATCAAGAAACTCATTCAGGCCAGGCACCTTAGCTCATGCCTGTAATCCTGGCACTATGGGAGGCCAAGAATTCCAGACTAGCCTGGGCAACATGGCAAAACTCTGTCTCTACAAAAAATACAAAATTAGCCAGGCATGGTGGCTCTCCCTTCCGTCCCAACTACTCCAGCGGCTGGGGCAGGAGGATGCCCTAAGCCCAGCAAGGTCGAGGCTGCTGTTAGCTGTGACTGCACCACTGCACTCCACTCCACTCCAGCCTGGGCAACAGAGTGAGACTGTCTCAAAGAAAAAAAAAAAAAGCCTCATTCACAGGTAATTTTTTTAAAAAAATGGAAACTAAAATAGAATTTAAAACCCAAGCTGCTCGGTTTCTCGGAAGATGGATTTTTCCTACTTTGTAATATACTTTGTATATCTCGACTATGATTGTGTATGCAAGCACCTCTAAGAAAAAGTACTTGTATCTACAATGAATTCTTTTTTTTTTTTTTCTTTTTTTGACACGTAGTCTCGCTCTGTCGCCCAGTCTGGAGTGCAGTGGCTCTAACTCAGCTCACTGCAAGCTCCGCCTCCCAGGTTCACCCATTCTCCTGCCTCAGCCTCCGGAGTAGCTGGGACTACAGGCGTCCGCCACCACGCCCGGCTAATTTTTTGTATTTTTAGTAGAGACTGAGTTTCACCGTGTTAGCCAGGATGGTCTCGATCTCCTGACCTCGTGATCCGCCCGCCTCAGTCTTCCAAAGTGCTGGGATTACAGGTGTGAGCCACCGCGCCCGGCCTGCAATGAATTCTTAAACCTCAGGGAGCCAAATAAAAAGACAAGGCCTGAGGAATTCTTTCAAAAATTAAAGTAACATTTCATATTTATTTATTCTAACAGACAAAGAATAAAGAAGGAATCCGCTAAGTTGTAAGCTGAGGTGCAGACAAGTACTGGTTCACAATGACATCCTAGAAGGAACGCTCTGGATAAGAGCTTCAAGCTTCTACGGTTTTCTGAGGAAAGTGAACGGAATCTAAACGTGTCCTATCGCTCAAAAAAATCAGCGCTGTGGACCACAGAGCCTAACAGAGTAAAATAATACAGCGTGCAGTTTGGCCACTAACAGCAAGAGTGGGAAGGGGCAAAGAGGAACCTTGATTGCCCGACACCAGGGCCACCTGAAGACTCATCTTGACACTTCAGTCTTTCCATTTTGAGATTAGAAGCTTCAAGGACCATTAAATCGCTGCCGCTGCCACACCAGGCCCGACGGAGCAGAAAGGCTGCGCTCACCGGCAGAAGCGACCGGGTGCACACCTGCCGGGTCGGGAGGCCCGCACGGTCACACCCCGCCCCGGCTTACCTGCCCTTCGGCGATTTTTAGCTTCAACTTCCATCCCTTCCCACCCATCTGGATCCAACCAAGCCCAAGGGCGGGGGAGGGAGAAGCTAGTGCCGCGAGGAAAAGCATCCCCGCCACCCGCCGCAGGCTTTCTCTCCTCCCTCCCCATTCCACAGAAGAGGCAAAGCCACACCGCCTCTCCTAACCCTCGTCTCTAATGCAAGGCCTGCAATACTTAGAAAAAAATAATAACTGTTTTTAAGGAAAAGTAACATCCCCGCTCCCTTCCGCCCCTCACCTTCACGAAAGCAATCGGGGTTGTGGTACCTTCGATATCTAACAGGATCACGGTGACTTCGGCGGGGACCGAAAGCACGACCATTTCCCCACCGGATGCTACGGGACTCGGCCTGCAGTCGGGGAGGGTGGAGGGCGGCGCCGGCTGCGGCTGCTGCCCCCGGTACCGTCCTGGGCTTCCGACGGCCCCGCGCGATCTTGGAGCCAGCGACCAAGTGCAGCCTGCCGCGCGTAGGGAAGAGAACACCTCTGGACACCTGGAACTGGAAAAGGCGGCCGCCCCGGAGCCCCTGAACTCGTGAGCAGGACGGGGCAGGAGCCCGAGACCACGTGGGCAGGAAAAGGGGCGGGCCGTGCTGGGTTCGGCGGGGCGGGGAGGGTGAAAGCCCAGCGCCGATTGGTCGCCGTCGGGCCTCGAACGCGATCCGTCAAAATGGGCCTCGCGTGGGCGGGAACAAAGAAGCGAACGCGGGAGCAGGATGCGCGAGAGCGCGCCCTCCGCAGACAGGTTGAGCGAGCGGGAGAGGCCCGGGGCACGTGCAGAAGGGAGCCCCGCGAGTGGCGCGCCGGGGATGTGAGTGCCCCTTGCCCTCTACTGCATCCAGCCCCCTCCCCGCCCACCGCCTCCGTCTTTGCATAGATACAGTCATCTGGCCAGCCTCCGCCCCTCCTCCCGGCCTCAGCCTGCCAGAGAGGCCGCGCGGGGCTCGGGCTTCGGCCGATCAGCCAGGAGGCCTCGCTGCGCCCCCTCGGCCCGCGCGCCCGTGGCCACAGCGGAAGAGACGCCCGCGCTGCGCTGCCCGGAGGGGCCGTCGCGCGCCCGCTTCCTGTTCGGCTGGTTCCTGCCAGCTCGAGGACAAAACACGCGTGCGCGCGGCGGGCGAGCGCGCTCGCCGCCTCAGTCGCCAGCGCCGGGCGCAGTCCGCCTTTTTCCGGAGTAGCCCGGCTGCGGTGCTAGTCGGTAGCAGCGGCCGCCGCAGCGGCTCCGCACTGACGAACCGAGGGCAGAAAAAGGCGGGGTTCACGGCTCTTTGGTAGGAGTGGGCTGGACCGGACGCCAGAGACAAAGGCTCCCAAGGCAAGAGGGACTGTGGCCCTGCGTCGGCTCTGTTCGGGATTGCTGACCCCAGGACTTTACGCCCCTTCGTTTTTCTCTTCTGATTCTTCTCTTTTCCCAAGCCTGCGTCCCCTCACGCGTGGCCTCTCTCCTTGCCGGGAGGGCCGCGATGGAGGTCCCGCCCCGGCTTTCCCATGTGCCGCCGCCATTGTTCCCCTCCGCTCCCGCTACTTTAGCCTCCCGCAGCCTCTCCCATTGGCGGCCGCGGGCGCCGCGGCAGCTAGCCCCGCTCCTCCCTTCACTCGCTCCGAGCTCCGCCCGGCAGGGGGCGCGCCGGGCCCAGCGCCACGTCACCGCCCAGCAGCCCTCCCGATTGGCGGGCGGGGCGACTATAAAGGGAGGGCGCAGGCGGCGCCCGGATCTCTTCCGCCGCCATTTTAAATCCAGCTCCATACAACGCTCCGCCGCCGCTGCTGCCGCGACCCGGACTGCGCGCCAGCACCCCCCTGCCGACAGCTCCGCCACTATGGAAGATATGAACGAGTACAGCAACATAGAAGAATTCGCAGAGGGATCCAAGATAAACGCGAGCAAGAATCAGCAGGATGACGGGTACCGCACGCTTCTTCCCCCGCTCCCCCTCCCCCAGCGCGCCGCACGCGCCCTTCGTCCCTCGTGAGCCGCGCGCTGCCCCCATTCTTTCTCGGAGTCGATTCCCCGCGTGCCCTCTGGGCCCCACTAGCTTGGAGGGAAGAGGAAAGTAAGAGATCGAGGGGGTGACTGGAGAGACTCGGGAATTCCCGAGTGGGGGAAGGGCGGAGGGGTTGGAGGAGGAGGGCGGCGGCGTCTCTGTCCCGAGCGCGCAGGCGCCGCGTGGGACCCGGAGGGGAGGGGCCGGCCTCCCAGCGGCGCTCGCTGCAGCTGCCGCCGCCTCTTCATTGTGTCTCTGTTACCACTCGGCGCGGTTTTCCTGGGAAGAGTTTTAGAGGACTCTGAGTTCGGGCACAAGCAGGCGACTGGTACCCAGATTCACAAAACGTATTATGATTGATGAGTTCTCTGGGTGGAACGTTGGCTTGACAGCTGAGGACGAGGATGGACCTAAGATTAGATGTGAGGGATTCATCTAGGAAGTTGGGCTTTCTAGCTGAAGGAGTCTGGGCAGAACCTTTACTATATTTTATTGGTCTCCTTTGAGTTTTGCTTTATGTAGTGCGGAGAGCGAGCTGTCCGCTGGTTTGAGTAACTTTGTTGGGATATTGGGATTTTTGTGTGACACAGATTAAATGTAAACATGGATTAAATTGCTTACACTTAGGGGATAAATGTCCCTGTTTTTTATTCCACGATTTAATTCCAGAACTGAAGGATCATTTGAGTTATTGTTAATTTTTTAAAAAACCTTTTATTTCTAGTAAAATGTTTATTGGAGGCTTGAGCTGGGATACAAGCAAAAAAGATCTGACAGAGTATTTGTCTCGATTTGGGGAAGTTGTAGACTGCACAATTAAAACAGATCCAGTCACTGGGAGATCAAGAGGATTTGGATTTGTACTTTTCAAAGATGCTGCTAGTGTTGATAAGGTAGGAACTGTGTTTTGCATTGTGCTGCTTTTGTAGTGTTTTGCACATTTTTCTGGGGGTTATATGCTGCTGTCAGATTAAATAAATCTGTCTTGTAGGTTTTGGAACTGAAAGAACACAAACTGGATGGCAAATTGATAGATCCCAAAAGGGCCAAAGCTTTAAAAGGGAAAGAACCCCCCAAAAAGGTTTTTGTGGGTGGATTGAGCCCGGATACTTCTGAAGAACAAATTAAAGAATATTTTGGAGCCTTTGGAGAGGTGTGTGTTTATGTTTACACATGTTAAGCTTGATGTGTTTATAAAATGTTTAATCCTGGTCCGATTTACACAGGGCAGATTCATGTTTCGTGTGAGGGTAGGATTAAATGACTGCTCAAGTCGCTTCCAGGGACTGTACCTTGATTTGATTGCTGCTCTGATAGAAACCCAACTATCTTAATTTAGCCAAAACATGGGCACTTACATGTGGTTGGTGTTTGGACTTGTTAGCTAGTGGCATCTTTGGGGTACGAAATAATATTAAAGGATGTTTTACTTTTCTCTCAATGCTTCAAATACACAACAAATCATTGAAGACTGATGTTGATCATAAAGCAGTGATGTCTGTATAGAAGTCACCTAATAAGAATAACATGTTTAAGTTGAAGCCTGAAAAGTACCTGTGGCATTCTGACACTCTGGTAGCATTTTACAATTATGGGATGACCTTGAGTGTGCATCTCGATTTCAGATTGAAAATATTGAACTTCCCATGGATACAAAAACAAATGAGAGAAGAGGATTTTGTTTTATCACATACACCGATGAAGAGCCAGTAAAAAAATTGTTAGAAAGCAGATACCATCAAATTGGTTCTGGGAAGGTAAAGCCATTTAAGTACTTTAAATGAAAATTTTAAGGTTTTCTTTTTTATTTTTTTATCTTTTAGTTTTTGAAATTTCTCAATGTGTTTGAGAAAAATAAAATGATTAAATTTTAGAACTCAAGTAAAAATTCTATTTTTGTGTTTTTTAATTTGTTTATAGTGTGAAATCAAAGTTGCACAACCCAAAGAGGTATATAGGCAGCAACAGCAACAACAAAAAGGTGGAAGAGGTGCTGCGGCTGGTGGCCGAGGTGGTACGAGGGGTCGTGGCCGAGGTGAGACTTAATTCTTGGAATATGACTCCATGGTTTAAGCTGTATACTGCTAAATATGAGTAGTCCTGTACGAAACTAAAACTTTAAACTTAAAACAATTCCAGCGGGAGGAAAATGTTCAGCTTAGTGGGGGTTGTGTGTGGTGGTTTTTGTTGTGAGCTCACTGGTTTCAAAAAACTGTTAAAAGTATGGGCACTTTGACAATTAGTGTCATCACTGACAGGAAAAGTGTACCATTACATGATGCGCCATGGCGTGATAGGTTTTCTTGGGCAGGAGTCCTTGTTTTAAACAGAACAGTATACCTGTCTTCAGCTTTAATGGAAAATTGAATGATTTTCCATTAAATTTAGGAAGTGTGATACTGGCACAATTGGATTTTCTGCCCCCTTTTTTTAATAACAGCTGGAAGAATAGTTTTTCAAGCAGATAGCAATATATATGTCCATTCTGCTCTTTAAGATTTGCAGAGTGAGAGACAAGAACGCATCATTTTATGTTAGAATTGGGGGTCAGAAGTTGTTTCCTAACAATCATTGTGCATTGTTTCAGGTCAGGGCCAAAACTGGAACCAAGGATTTAATAACTATTATGATCAAGGATATGGAAATTACAATAGTGCCTATGGTGGTGATCAAAACTATAGTGGCTATGGCGGATATGATTATACTGGGTATAACTATGGGAACTATGGATATGGACAGGGATATGCAGACTACAGTGGTAAGAATATTTAACTTAATTTTATAAACCAGTGGTATTAAAATTCATTGTTAACATACAATCCTGTTCTGAAATTGTGTGTATGGGCTTTCTGTTTGGAGTTAAGTGTTTGAGGCATGTTACAGTCATAGGGTGATTATACTAACATAGCCTGGTGGTTATAAATGAACTAGGATGTATTATTTACGACTAGCTTATAATGGGTGTTAAAATATCTTAATATTTTAATACTTTTTATTTAGCATGCAAAGATTTGTAGATTTAATCATTTCTCAGTGTGTTTGTAAGGAAACAGTTTTGTAGAAAACTGTCTTAATGAAATTTCTGTGTTTTCAAAATAGGTCAACAGAGCACTTATGGCAAGGCATCTCGAGGGGGTGGCAATCACCAAAACAATTACCAGCCATACTAAAGGAGAACATTGGAGAAAACAGGTGTGTATAAGAGTACAGGAAAACAGTAGAAATGTCTAATTTAATTTAAAGATCAATAGACAAACGTAAAAACAAAATACTATGTAGCCTGTTCTTACTAAATTGTTGATTTTTTTTAATTGCTTTATGAGCCTGTTTTGCCTAAAGTGTCTATAGATCTTTAACTTTAAAGTCTTATCTCACTTTCTTTAGTATTGCAGAAAAACTTAAGAGTTTTTCTGTTTGCTTTTGTGTACCAGGTGGTCTAGAGGAATAATTAAACATTTTAGAACTATTAACAGGTAAAGTACTGAAATGGGTACAACTTAAGGAAAACAAGAATGTTGTCTTCTAACTCTGACATTATACCTTGTTTGTACCCGCCAGCGGGAACTTCATTGCAGGCCGTGTGTCACCCTGACCACGTCTATCTCTGGGGGTCGCACGTTGCGGGCAGAGCGCAAGGCATACACCAGAAAACGCTGTCCTGTGGTATGGTCTCTTCCAACTTCATGTACCAGCGTAAAGATTAAAGTGGAAAACTTCAGACTTTGGCTTCTTTTTTAATCTTTTTGGAGATTAAGTGTCTAAACTTAACTTAAATGGTTTTTTACAGGAGTTAAAATACATAAATGCCTTTTTACAGCTTAATCATTTTGGTCTTCTGTTTAGTGTTGTATTTCAATTGTGGAGCCTCATTTTAAGTGTTCATTCTTTTAAGATTTAATGCTTGCTTTTTCTTTTTATAGCTAATAGTGAAATCTACAAACCAAAACAAGAACTTTTAAATCTGGGATATAAATTAAAGATCATATGCACAATTCAATTTATGTTCTTGTAATAAGCTTATTAGAAATTGGTGTTTGTGATAGCATTTTACTTGGGTTACTAGAGATGCTTCTAGTAGACCTTAATCTAGCATAGTTGAACCTGTGAATATGGGAAGATTGTATTCCCAGATTCTTTCCTGAATAGATTTGAATTTATTATTATTTGGGAACTCCAGGGTGAGTTTATTGACTACCCAAACTGTATTTTGCCAATAAATATGCATATGATCTTTAATTATTGAAGAAAAGAATAAAGTGAGGACTTAAAACAATTCATGAAAGTGGACCTTTAAAAGCTTGTCAGAGTTGCACAAATCTAATTGGTATTTTGTTTTTGTTTTTAGGAGGAGATGTTAAAGTAACCCATCTTGCAGGACGACATTGAAGATTGGTCTTCTGTTGATCTAAGATGATTATTTTGTAAAAGACTTTCTAGTGTACAAGACACGATTGTGTCCAACTGTATATAGCTGCCAATTAGTTTTCTTTGTTTTTACTTTGTCCTTTGCTATCTGTGTTATGACTCAATGTGGATTTGTTTATACACATTTTATTTGTATCATTTCATGTTAAACTTCAAATAAATGCTTCCTTATGTGATTGCTTTTTTGCGTCAGGTACTACATAGCTCTGTAAAAATGTAATTTAAAATAAGCAATAATCAAGGCACAGTTGATTTTGTAGAGAGTATTGGTTCATACGGAGAAACTGTGGTCCTTTATAAATAGCCAGCCAGCATCACCCTCTTCCCCAATTTGTAGGTGTATTCTATGCTCTTAAGGCTTCATCTTCTCCCTGTTAAGTGAGGTTTCTACCACACCTTTGAACAATGTTCTTTCCCCTCTGGTTATCTGAAGACTGTCCTGAGAGGAAGACGTAAGTGTTGTGATTAGTAGAAGCTTTCTAGTAGACCATGTTTCTTCTGGATTGTAGTAAAATTGTTAGTAGCTCCTTTTACTTTGTTCCTGTCTCTGGAAAGCCATTTTTGAATCGCTAATTACTTTGGCTTTAGTCAGTGGTCACCTGGTAAAAGCTTTGTAATCATAACACAATCACTTAATTCTTGATAAAAATTCAGATGCACACAGGAACACTGTAAAACTGGTAGGATCTATGGTTTAAGAGCATTTAAAGTAGTTATAACTCAAGGATTTTAGTAGAAAGGTATGAGTGTGGTCAAAAGTTAGATTAAAATTTGAAATAGTGGCAAAAGATTTAGTTGTGTTGTTTTCTCGCAGTCACCACAAGATTGAACAAAATGTTTTCTGTTTGGGCATTCTGAGGAAATTGTATTACAGTTAGCTATTAATGCTGTGTGAGTTTAGAAAAAGTCTTGATAGTAAATCTAGTTTGTAACACAGTGCATGAACTGAGTAGTTAAAACAGTTCCATATTCAGACATAGGAATAGTGGAAAAGGTATCTTAGGTGTGTCAGTCAATCCAAATGTGACTTGAGTCATTACAGTGGACCCTCTGGGTGCACTGAAAAGAAGCCGTTTTATGTCCAGGTTTGAGAAGACCTGGAATAAATAAAAGCTTTGAATTTTGCATTCAGTGTAGTTGGATTTTGGGTCCTTTGCCTCAATGTTAGCTACTGGGATTGGCAGATGTGTTCACAGGCAGAGTAGTCGATCTCACACAACGGGTGATCTCACAAAACTGGTGTTTCTTAAGCTGATGAGCCCCCTCCTTTTTTAATTTGGTGCTTACAACTTGGTTACAATGATTATACTTCTTGAGCTATCACGTTATAATGCTCTTGGCCTTTTTTTGCTGCTGTTTTGCTATTTGTTCTCACACCTAGGCCAAGTACCAGTGTTGGCTGTTAGAAGGGATTCTGTTCATTCAACATGCAACTTTAGGGAATGGAAGGAAGTTCATTTTTAAGTTGTGTTGTCAGGTGCAGTGTCTAGGGTAGTGAATCCTGTAAGTTCAAATTTATGATTAGGTGACAAGTTGACATTGAGATTGTCCTTTTCCCTGATCAAAAAATGAATAAAGACTTTTTAAACAAAATCCAAACTTTTAATCAAGTCTTGATATGTATGACTGAGAAAAAATATATTACATCTAGAGATGATTGAGATGTTTTACAAACAATTGAAGGGGGAGTAAGAATTCACTTGATTTTTCTTGCAGGGGCTTTGAACTCTAGATTTAATTAAGATTTCAGGGCCCATTTGCATCAACTGATGCAAATTTGAATAGATACTCTTAGACTAAGTGTCCTAGGTTGGATGAACTGTGAAGCTAGTATCAAGATCTCATTCCCAAACATTAATTTAGAACAAAGTAATTGGACAAGTTTATTGGGGAGGGGATAGAAATGAATTCTGAAGTACCTATAACAAACACTCGGTTTGTATATGTTTTCATACATTGTATTTGCCTTTTGCATTGTTTAGACCAAATTCTGTGTGATGTTATCCTAACAAAAGACGTTAGTAATTTCATTGGTTAACATGTTAATGTGAATCTCGCTCATTTTTATAGTAGGAGGACTATTAAAATGAGATGTCTGTTGGGATACTAGCATGGATAAGCATAGCTTATTCCATTACTCTGCAGTGCATCTTTATTTTCATAATGGCAGAGAGCTTCACTAATCTTCACAAAATTTAATATAAGGGCATATCTGAACAATTAAGCCACTTTCCATTACCAAGATTTGATTTAATGTCAATCAGGATGCTAGGCTGCGTGCTGTAGATCATGCCTGTAATCCCAAGCACTTTGGGAGACCAAGGCAAGTGCATTGAGTCCAGCCTAGGCAACATGGCAAAACCCTAGTCTCTACAAAAATTAGTCCAATGTGGTGGTGCACACCTGTAGTCCCAGCTACTTGTGCTGAGGCAGGATGATTGCTTGAGCCAGGGAGAGGAAGGGTGCAGTGAGTCATGTTTGTGCCACTGCACTCCACCCTGGGCGACAAAGTGCGACCCTGTCTCAAAAAATCGCAGGATGCTAAACTTCACCAATTAAAGAGCTGACTAAGCTGGCTGGGCGCAGTGGGCTTATGCCTGTGATCCTAGCACTTTGGAAGGCCAAGGTAGGTGGATGGCTTGAGTCCAGGAGTTCAAGACCAGCCTGGCCAGTATGTCAAAACCCCAACTCTACTAAAAATACAAAAATTAGCTAGCTAGGCATGGTGCTGTACTCGGGAGGATCGCTGGAGTCCAGGAGGTGGAGGTTGCAGTGAGATCTGTGCTCCAGCCTGGGCAACAGTGAGAACCTCTCAAAAAAAAAGTAGACTAAGACCAGGTGTGTTGAGCTGCAGTTGAGCTATGGTCGCTCCATTGCACTCTACCTAGCCTAGGCAACAGAATGAGACCCAGTCTCAATTTTTTAAAAAGGTGATTCAAAAACATGTAAGTGTATGAATAATTTTAGTTATAGATGTGTGTGTATACCATTTCAATTGATTCTAGTGTTGAGTAGTTACAAAGGGTCATTCATAGAAAACCCCCTTTCCTTAAACTTTCAGCCAAATAGAGTTGGCATCTAATCTGTGGTTTCAACTTTTAAGCAAACACAATGCAAATTCTATGTATTTTTTATAGTCACTAGAAAATACTGGGGTTTTTTTGAAAATATTGTTTATAAAAATATAGGCTGTTCTTTTAGGATTGGTTGGGGTCTTACATTTGTCTTGAAATAGATTAGATATGGAATTTCAGCAAGATTTAGTTAATAGCAAAAAATAAAAAATACACCTTTGACTTTACTTTTTATAAACTGTAGGAAAGGATATAGTGATGTTCTGGGTATTACAGAGTAATGCTGAACATTCTGAAGACCTTAACTTCTGCTGTTCTTCTCTCCCCCACCACCCTCCACCCCCAACCAGAATGAGTTTGGAATTGTGCTGTTTTTTATTTTTTATTTTTTTCCTTCCCTGAGTCGGAGTTTCACTCTTGTTGCCCAGGCTGGAGTGCAGTGATCTGATCAGGGCTCACTGCAACCCCCCCTTCCCAGGTTCAAGCGATTCTCCTGACTCAGCCTCCCAAGTAGCTGGTATTACAGGCATCTGCCACCATGCCTGGCTAGAATTTTTGTATTTTTAGTAGAGACAGGGCTTCGCCATGTCAGGCTGGTCTCAAACTCCTGACCTCAGGTGATCCACCCGCTTCCACCTCCCAAAGTCCTGGGATTACAAGCATGAGCCACCGTGCCCTGCCAGAATTGTGCTATTCTTAAGTGTCAGTTTAATCTCTGGTTTTACCCTTTAAAGAGATTTACCACTTCAAAGAGACTTACCACTCAAAGAGAGGTACCCATTCGGGGAACTGTATCATAATCTTAGAGGGTAGTGAGACTAAAGTGTAGTTTGAAAAAGTATATTCAGCCGGACGCAGTGGCTCACGCCCGTAATCCCAACATTTTGGGAGGCCAAGGCGGGCGGATCACGAGGTCAGGAGTTTGAGACCAGTCTGGTCAGTATGGTGAAACCCCATCTCTAGCAAAAATTAGCAGGGCGTAGTGGTGGGCAACTCTAATCCCAGCTACTCAGGAGGCTGAAGCAGGAGAATCACTTGAACCCGGGAGGCAGAGGTTGCAGTGAGCCAAGATAGCACCACTGCACTCCAGCCTGGGAGACAGAGCAAGACTCCGTCTGGAAAAAGTATATTCAACATAATCTTGTCACTTAAAATCCAAATAACCAAAAAGGCTAATTTTGGTTTCTTAAAGACCAGCACAAGCTAGAAAATGTGAGAAACTTTACTTGCAAGTTTTTCTCATACTGTTCCAATAGTAATCTCCTTTTGGGAGTCTGACCAAAAGTGAATTCTCTTCAAACCCAAAAAATGTATGTCTATAAATATTTTCAATGTAGTTTCAGGAAAATTAGAGACTTAGAAAACTGTTCTAAAATGCTCTTGAAGCTGTTGGCTTTTATGGTGACAAACTGACTAAAATTGATTGAATTTGTTGTAGTTGATGAGGTTGCACAAAGGGTTTCTTCATATGCTCTCCACCTTCCACCTGGGTATTTGTATTGGCTGGTGAACACAGGGGATTGTTTTATTGATGACAGAGTCTCACTCTTGCCCAGGCTGGAGTGCAGTGATGCCATCACGTCTCACTACAGTCTCAACCTCCTGGGCTCAACCAATCCTCCCACCTCAACCTTGCATGTAGCTGGGGCCACAGGCACATGCCATCATACCTAGCTAATTTTTTTGATTTTTAGTAGAGATGAGGTCTTGCTATATTGCCCAAGTTAAAGCTTTTTTATTTTTCTTGTCTTAGATATAGAGACTCACTATGTTGCCCAGGCTGGTCTCAAACTCCTTGGCTCCAGTGATCCTCCCACTTAGGCCTCCCAAAGTGGGGAGATTACCAGCATGTGTCACCACATCCAGCTTTAGCTTTAATCCCCTGATTTTAAAATGGGGAAGTCAGCCAATTGAATGTACCAATGCTGATTACGTTCTGCAGTCTATTAAACTATAAAACTCCTATCAGGCATACTTTAAGCATTAAGATTGGTCAGTAATCTTTGTTATTTTTTTATTTTTATTTTTATTTTTATTTATTTATTCACTTATTTTTTTGAGATGGAGTCTCGCTCTGTCGCCCAGGCTGGAATGCAGTGGCGAGATCTCGGCTCACTGCAAGCTCTGCCCCCCGGGCTCACGCCATTCTCCTGCCTCAGCCTCTCGAGTAGCTGGGACTACAGGCGCCCGCCACCACGCCCGGCTAATTTTTTGTATTTTTTAGTAGAGACGGGGTTTCACCGTGTTAGCCAGGACGGTCTCAATCTCCTGACCTCGTGATCAGCCCGCCTTGGCTTCCCAAAGTGCTGGGATTACAGGCGTGAGCCACCGCGCCTGGCAGTCAGTAATCTTTAATACACTTGGTTTCTGAGTGTTGAGATCTATTGTAGCAAAGTTGGATTATATTACAATTGATCCATTCTTGTTCCTCTAATGGAATTTGAGCCTGGATAATCTGGAGCAACTACTCTTCCCATGAAAGACATGGCCTATGAAATTGAGTCACTATTTAGATTGCCCTTGGACCATGAAACATCTGGGGCATATATGTTTTTCATAGACACTGCAAGCAGAAGAATGAAAGGAGGGTGTGCGTAGTGGGGGTTAAATGATATTATAGAATAGTTTCAATATTTCATCACCAGGAAACCCTTTAAATTTCTTCTCCCTATAGACAATGTGTTTTGAATGGCTTCACTTGTCAAATATATTGCTCTCATTATGTAATAACATTTCTATTAATCAAAGATATATAGCTGTCAGAACTTACAATCTGATAATCTGCATCATACCAAGTTAATTTAATGGCAGCCAAATCAAGAATATTTCTGTTACCTTGTGTCCATTTTTTAATGAATGTAACATCTAACAGGCTTTTAAAATACCAAAAATGCTGGCTGGGCATGGTGGCTCACACCTGTAATCCCAGCACTTTGGAAGGCAAAGGCGGGCAGATCATTTGAGGCCAGGAGTTTGAGACAAGCCTGGCCAATATGGTGAAACCCTGCCTCTACTAAAAATACAAAAATTAGGTGTGATGGTGCATGCCTGTAATCCCAGCTACACGGGAGGCTGAGGCAGGAGAATCGCATGAACCTGGGAGGCAGAGGTTGCAGTGAGCCAAGATTGTGCCACTGCACTCCAGCCCCTAGGCAACACAGCAACACTCCGTCTCAAAAAAAAAAAAAAAAATTTAGAAGTGAGAATAAGAGGCAACATTTCAAGAGGTAATGGCTTAAAATTTTCCAGAAGTGACAATAGAATCCACAAATTCAATATACCCTACAATTGCAATTAGGAAAAATAAAAATCTCCATGAAGATGCACTATGGCAAAACCAAAAAAAAAAAAAATCAACAAAATCTTAAAAGCAGCCACATCTAGAACCAACTACCGGTAATCAGGAAAAGAAATAAAGGCACATGTTAAACTACCATGAAGATGCAACCATCCAAATCTAAAATGTGGAAAATTCGTAAGAATGTCCCATTTCTTCAACAAGTAAATGACATGAAAAG